GGGTGGGGGGCCAGCAAAACAGAGGTCAAGGGGCGGACGGTGGCGCCACTTAAGAATTGGAGGGATGGCCACCAGGCACCGGCCGGCTCGCCCAGCTCCATTGGCGCGCCGCAGCCGCTGCCGCGGCCTCGCCTGCCTCGACCCTCCTGCTGCCGTGCGGTGACGCGGCTCCGAAGCGGTGAGGACCCCGGGATCCTCCGCCGCAGGTGCCACACCTCGCGCCCACCCTGCCCTGCTGTTGCGCCAGGTTGAGCTTGCTGCCTGTGGTCTCCCCTGTGCACTGCACCCCTGTGCCCTGCGGCCCCCAGGCGAGCCCCTCACGTTGCGGATGGCGTTGTGGTTGGGGTCCACCAGGATGACCTCAAAGTACTTGTAGGCAGAGTCCTGAGGGTGAACAGGGCCGTGGTGGAAAGATGGTGTGTGAATGGGGGCAGGCAAGCACACAGAATTCCAATTAATGTTTTACAAACCACAGAGCCGCCGGCCCTGAGCGCAGCGGCGGCAGCAACGGCAGCAGCAGCGGCGGCAGCGGCAGCAGCAGCAGCGGCGGCAGCGGCAGCAGCAGCAGCAGCAGCAGCAGCAGCGGCGGCGACCACGCAGCGGTAGCCGCCGCCGTCGCCACAGCATCGACGCCGATTGGACCGCCGCTGGCACCCCATGCAGCCCGCAGCTGCCCCATCGTAGGTGCCGCTCTTACCGCCCCGTACCACCTGATATCGCCCAAAATTGGACAATACAGCGCCGCGCCGCGCTGCAACGGACAGTATCCACCCCCGATCGCCATCACCCCCAAACTCGCACGCACCTCGTTGACCCAGTAGCTGTTGAGCACGCGCAGGCCGCCCAGCCTGCGGCCCGCCCGCTCCTCCGCCACGTTGCGCAGGTTGCGGCTGGCCTTGAGCTGCGTGATACCCTGGTTCACGGGCTTGCCGTACACGATACCCTGTTACGGCGAAAACAGGGGTCGGAGCACGGAGGCGGCAGCGCAGCTATGTAAAATAGACGCGCCAGCGCGGCTCTGGGGTGCGAGGCACTGCTGTGGGCGCAGCGGCGCCTTGCCAAGGGCGTCATCGTCGGGGCCCGGCCGCAGACGCCTTGATGCTGCTAGCGCGGCTGCCGACCGCTGCCGATGCCGCGCTGATCACCGCCACCTCTGCGCTGCTCGACCGCTGGGCGTGGTATGGCCGTCCATCGCTGACGCGACTCGAAATGTGGCGCTGCGGTGCCACCAATAGCCTGCGCGCCTACGCCACGCCTGCACGTGGGCCTGCTGCATCTATCCGGCGGCATGCTTCGCGACTGACTGCCTCGATATGCCAACGAACTCCACGAAACTGCCTGCAAACAGCTGCCAGTCTGCACTCGACCCAGACACGTCTCGCCGCCTCCAGCCGCGCGCCAGCGCAAGCTCCACTGCCGCCATTTGATAAGCACGCCCCTCGCAGCTTCCAGGCCCCCATCCCTAGAGGCTGCGTCCTGCTCTTACCTTGCTCACGGGCCTCTTGCGGCCGCCGCGGCGCACGCGCACGCGGTAGACGACGTACCCCTGCTTGGCCTTGAAGCCCATGCGGCGGGCCTTGTCCGGCCTCGACGGCCTGTTCAGGCGCACGATGCCGGGCAGCTGCCTGAACTCCCAGCACCGGACGCGCAGCAGGAAGCGGAGCACATCGCTCTGCTTCCTGCGCCACAGCTCCTCGATGTACTGCGGGGTGTGAAAAGTAATAAATCCGATATTTTAACTTTAACGGCAAGAGAATGGACCCTCTGCCACTGCTGCTGGCGGCCTCTGCAGTGCTGCTGCTGCACCGGCGGCCTACAGGAGCGTTGTACGCCTCGCACCTTGTAGGCTCCCATGATTCCAGGCACGATGCCGCCGCTCCGCAGAGAAAGAGGGCTTCTCGGAGGCCGCCAAAGGCTTTGAAGTTGATCGAAGTCGAACAGATTGTTGGCCCCTTTCTGTGAGTTTTGTGTATTACATGACTGTACACTGGTTCATGTAGTTATGGGATGCCTAGAAGGGCTCAAACCCGCTCAGGCCAAGGCGTGTGCAAGCTGTGATCTGTGTGCGTGTTCACCAGCAGGCTGACTGTGTTTCTGAGTACAGTGGGCGGTGGTGCAGAATTGTTGTCAATCATTCAATCCTGGCAAATGGGTTGCATGCACCTCATGCATCGGTCCGTCAGCACGGCTGACCTGTGCGGAGTAACGTCAAGGTGTTGACCGCTAACACATTGTTGACCGTACCAACTCCCTGATGTGGGAGATTCCAGGGCTGCCACAGCGCCCGCGTGGATTCGTGCAGGATGGTTACCACCTGCGGCTGAGTCTGCACGGTGCTCTACCCAATCCACACGGCTGCTCCTCCATCGGCTCGGCTGCTCGTGCATTCTTTGCCGCCTCACCAACCGACTGACAAAGCGCGCAGGATGGGCTGGTTTCATCCCACGACTGTACCCCGCCAAATGCACGGCATGACAAGGACAGCGGTTACTCATCGCTATCCTCTTGCCGGCCCTCTTCGTCATCGCTTGCTTCCTCCACCCCGTCTTTGTCCCCCTCATCCCCCTCATCCGGCGGCCCCTCCTGCCTATGCCCCTCATCCCCGCACTCCAGGCC